TTTGGAGTTAAGGTTACTTGTTCGAAGGTCTATCCTGCTTTGATTTCATATAAATGGTATGCACTATGCAAGTATTGAAGTAACTGGTAAGGATCATCTTATAATTATCTTAAGTAGTACGTCTATCTTTATTAGATTCTTATACCCTTTTTCTTGCGTAGATATCATGGATGGATTCCATCTTCACGGCGACCTGTACTTCCCTAATGAACGCAATGTTGGATGGCTTGAAGATGAGCCAGAAGATGAACATCCAATCCCTTTGGATGATCATCATGTAGAAGGCTTCTCTGATGGTTCCGACTCCGAGCCAGAAGTCAACAACCTAGCCCCTCTGGCTCTAGTCCCAAATCCTAACCCCTATCAGCCTTTTCAAGGCCCGACGCCTGAATGGGTGGAATGTATAGAAACATGGGGCGAAGAGAAAAATCAACACATGTCATTCAATGGAGACTGAAGCTTTTACGACACGATTGAAGGAGGAATAGCGGACAGAGTCTTGCCAATCCTAGTTCTAAGAGTTGCCCGCAACGAAATCCAGGGCAAGACGACTCTCCATCGCATTACGAAGGTTGATGCAAATGCAATGATGCATTCCATTCGCACCAGCCACCTAGAGCATGCTCGGGAGAGGTCTGCAATGGACCACGAGGCCCTGCTACAAGCACTAGCTGAGACTCGGGCTGAAGTCATAGAGCTCCGGGTTCGCCAGAGAGTCTATGAACGACATCTTCTCAACGTGGAGCGTCAACTGGCAGACCTTAGGGTTCGCCCGAGGAATGTCTGCCGCCGTTAGAAGATGTCTAGCATATCTTTTCTTTTGATTAAGGAATAGCCTTTTCTTATCTGTTCTCTAAGAACTTATCTGTAAAATATTCCTGTCTTTCGAAACACTATCTAGTCTACTAAACTGTCAACATTTTCCCTCGTATGGTTTGATGTAAGACCTACCATTAGGTCATTTTTCCCGAACTCATTTACATCAGTAATACAAGTAATATTGGTAGTTTCTAACCTATTGGAAAGTTATACTCTTGTGTTTTCGAACTCTATTGTTGTATCTCTATTCAACTTATACACGGATTCTAATGTTGGGGCTATGGAGCATTAGTCCATGGATCACTCTCATCATACTTTACAATTGATTCTTACTATCATCATCCTCTCTATAAACTTTCAGTAAAAGATCGCACCTCGCCCACGTCCTACTAAAGGCAGGTCGGTAAATCAAACACCACCACCACCTCCTCCACTAATCGATACGGCAACTCTTAATGTTGCAGTAGTTGTGGCTGTGGCTACAGCCATGGCTCAATATCACTCTACAGGTGCCAGAGGAGGTGGAACACCTATAAACTCTACTCAAGGTGAAATCCTCGTGCGCTCGAGATAGTGCTCCTACAAGGACTTCACCGATAGCAAGCTAAAGCACTTTAGAGGGACTGGCGGAATCATTTCCCTCTCGCAATGGTTCGAAAAGACGGAGTCAATCTTCGAGATCTGCACCTGTCCAGCAGGGAGCAAGGTCAAGTTTGCTGCTTGTACCTTCGAGGAAAAAGCCCTAACATGGTGGAATAGCCATTTCAAGTCACAAACTCTCATAGTGGAAAATGATCTGGGCTAGGAAACCCTGAAAGACCTCATGATTAAGGAATACTACCCGAGGGGCGAAATCCAAAAGCTAGAGCAGGAGCTATGGAGCCTAACCATGAAGGGCTCCAACATAGTCTCCTATACCGCCAGATTCAGTGAACTGGTGGCTATATGTCCCAACATGATTCCCACGGAGGGGAAGAAAATAAAGAGGTATATCTGGGGGTTGTTACCTCCAGTTCAGGGGAATGTTTTAGCTTCAAACCCCACTACTTTTAATAGTTCCAAGCGATTGGCACAGTGACTCATTGACCATGGGGTCTGTACCCCGGCAGCAACAACAACCATAACCATCTCAGAACCCTCCAAAGCCGCTTGCATCAAGCGGAAACTCTGGGATGACAAGAAGAAGCAGAGAGCTGCTAAAAAGCAGAGGGTCATGGCGGTTCATGTTGCGATAGTACCTGCCGCTGCTACTCCAATAAGAAGTACACTGGAAGTTTGCCAAAGTGCAACAAATGTAACTTCCACCACAATGGTCTCTGCCGGGAAATGCAGTGCTCTAAATGCAACAAGAAAGGACACACTGTCCATTTCTGTAAGTCTCTGGCAAGGCCGATCACCCAAGTCCCTGGCGTTGGTGTGGGCTAGGCATGCTACGGTTATGGCAAGGTGGGCCACTACAAAATGAACTGCCCGAAGGCAGGGAATGCCGATGGAGTGGGGAGAGTTTTGGCTATAGGCCACGAGGAAGCGGTTGCCGACCCTATAGTGGTAACTGGTACGTTTCTCCTCGATAACTCTTCTGCATTCATATTTTTGATAATGGAGCGGATAGAAGCTTCGTGAATCATAAATTTGATCGTCTACTTAAACAAAACCCAAGCACACTTAAGGAACCATTCACTGTAGAAATGGCTAACGGGAAAACTGAGAGCACCAGCAGTATATTCATAGGATGTGCTCTAACTCTAGATAGACATACCTTTTCAATCGACCACATGCCGGTCTCAATTAAAAGGTTCAACGTCATAATCGGCATGGATTGGTTGAGTCTTCATCACGCCGACATCATGTGCTATGAGAAAGCAGTCCGTCTAAACCTTCCGTCTAACGAAACTCTTATCATCTACGGCGACAAACCCAGAATGAACATGCGTATCATCTCAAGTATTCAAGCATAGAAGTACTTACGTAAGGATTATCGAGCATTCCTTGCTCATGTTGTCGATACAATCCTAGAAACGAAAGAACTAAAGAACATCCCGGTAGTGAGAGACTTTCTCGACATCTTTCTAGAAGAACTACCAGGATTATCTCCACAATGACAAGTCGAGTTCAGAATTGACTTAGTCCCAGGAGCTACCCCAGTAGCCAAATATCCCTACCGATTAGCACCAGTTGAGATGCAGGAACTATGTGGTCAACTTAATGAATTCCTTAGCAAGGGCTTCATCAGACCTAGCTTCTCGCCTTGGGCAGCACCGGTCTTGTTTGTTAAGAAGAAAGGTGGATCATTTCATATGTGTATCGACTACAGAGAACTCAAAAAACGTACGGTCAAGAATCGTTACCCTCTGCCTCACATAGATGATTTGTTCGGCCAACTGCAAGGGGCGAGTTACTTTTCCAAGATTGATCTAAGATCCGGATATCACCAGTTACGAGTGCTAGAGGAGCATGTCCCAAAGACAGCCTTCAGAACTCGTTAAGGACACTACGAGTTCGTAGTGATGCCATTCGGATTGACCAATGTGTCCTCAGTGTTCATGGACTTAATGAATAGAGTATGTCGTCCTTACTTGGATCACTTCGTCATCGTCTTCATTAATGACATACTGATCTACTCTCGAAGTAAGGAGGAGCATAGTGATCATCTATGACAAGTTCTAGGAACCTTACGATCAGAGAAGCTCTATGCGAAGTTCTCGAAATGTGAATTTTGGATCCGAAGAGTCGAATTCTTAGCCCATGTGATTAGCGAAGAAGGAATCCACGTGGACCCTTACCAAACTAAAGCCATTGAGAACTGGTCAGCACTAAAGATGCCTACAGAAATTCGTCAATTTCTAGGTCTCGCTGGCTACTACCGCATATTCATACAGAACTTCTCTCGGATTGCGAAACCTCTTACTACTTTGACCCAGAAAGGCGTGGCCTTTGACTGGGAAGAGAAGCAAGAAAAAGCGTTTCAAACGCTGAAGCGAGACTTATGCACCGCACCGATACTATCCCTCCCCGAAGGGATAGAAGACTTCGTTGTATATTGCGATGCATCCAACCAGGGGCTCGGCTGCGTTCTGATGCAACGAGGTAAGGTCATCGCCTATGCCTCGAGACAGCTGAAGACACATGAAGTCAACTACACCATGCATGATCTTGAGCTAAGAGCAGTTGTGTTTGCTCCAAAGATCTGAAGACACTACCTGTACGGTATAAAAAGCACTATCTTTTCAGACCACAAGAGTTTACAACACATATTCGATCAGAAGGATCTCAACATGAGACAACGACGATGGGTTGAGCTACTCAATGACTACGAATGCGAAATTCGTTATCATCCGGGTAAAGCCAATGTAGTAGTAGACGCCCTAAGTCGGAAAGAATATTCTGGTCGAAGGGTTAAATCATTGACCATTACTATCCTTTCTCATCTGTCCACAAAAATTAAGGAGGCTCAACACGAAGCCTTGAAACCTGAAAATGTGGCGGGTGAATCCCTGAGAGGGATGGATAAGAACTTAGAAGTCAAGGGTGGCGGAGCCTTATATCTCGTGGAACGGATCTGGACACCGAAACACGGTGGCTTCAGAGACTTGGTCATGACTGAGGCGCACAACACTTGATATTCTGTCACCCAGGTTTGGGTAAGATGTATCTGGATCTTAAAAAGTTATACAGGTGGCCTAACATGAAAACAGAGATTGCTACCTTCATGAGTAAATGCCTTACTTGCGCTAAGTTTAAGGTCAAATACCAGAAACCCTCCGGCACTACTAGAAAAACAGCCTTTTACGACGCTCATTACGCGTCGTAAAAGGCTCAGATGATGCGCAAATGCGCGTCAAGGAAGGCCCTGTCATAAAGAGAGACGACGCGCATTTATGACGCTCATTTACGACGCGCAATTACGACGCGCATTTACTACACGCAATGCGTATCAAGGAAGGCCCTGTCATAAAAGAAGACGACATGCATTCACGTGTCGTAACCTTACAACGCATGTGTTAATAACACACAATGCGTATCAAGAAAGGCCATGTCATAAATGAAGACGACACACATTTTTGCGTATCAAAATTTTAAATGCTTAAAAAAAATATTATTTATAGATTTTAAATTAAATTTTCATTTAATGTATCATAATAGAAATAAAATACCATATACAAAAAATACAATCCATTGCATAATATAAAATAAAATTTCATACACAAAAAATAAAATAAATTGCACAAATTATAATATGTCATACAAATAATCATTCAAATGTTAAACAAAAATAATTCATTGCTAACATGGGTTATACATTCCTATAAAACTATCAAATAATCATCCAACTCTGTCTCTTACTTGAATATGTGTGTAATTGTCTCCTTCATGAGTCTCCATGTCCCAAGTCGGACCTACCTTCCTTATCTATATGTATAACAAAGACACATAAATATATTGTGAATTTTTTACCTGATCTAAAATAAGAGTCTTGAATGTTGGTTGTACCTTGTGCTTAATTTCAACGTCTTCAATCCTTCTACACAGATTTCACTGAAACAAGAGAATGAAATCTTTTTTGAAATCACATCTACACCATTCTATTGGGAACAACTAAGATGATGCAATAATAAAAAACATGATATTAAGTCCATTTGATAGGAACTAATATAAACCAAATTCTAACATGATTATATGTAATATATACATGGAAAAGAACGAAAAAAATTAATACCTGATATCTGAAAAAGAAAAATAGGTTTTATATGCAACAGTGAAAGAAAATGGTTTTTGATCTGTGTTTGTATTTCTGACACGAGATGTCAACAACAAGTCTCCAACAGGTCCAAGACTAACCCTCAATCGGTATTCAAAGCTACAAAATAACAAAATGTAGTTTGAATTGATGCAATTGAGAGACTCGCAATTAAAAAAAAAACTCATTATTATACATAAATACAATGTATTTTTTTATTAACCTACTTATAATTTCCATTATAGGATTATTAGATTGATATGTAGGGTAAAATTGCTTATGATTTTTTGATTCTTTAGCGACTAATTTCATACTACCAAATTGCTTATATACCCTTGTTTGATGTATTACTTTCCTGCCTCTATGAGACACAATTTGTAATCAATTACCTGAAATTGCAACCTTTATATTCTCCAGAATTCAAGTAGTTCCCTTAGTCTTTTATGGAAAAAAATATCTAACCAAAGCATTTCATCAAAAAATATCCAACAGCTCTCGTGGCAGCAACCCCCTTTTGATTCACCCTACCACCTGTAGTCCCGTCAACCACTTAACTTGTCTGAGTTGGTGCCACTTTGTTTTGTTCGTACAGTTCCAACATTTGTTTGCTCACCTATGAAAGAAAAAAACAAAAAAACAAACAATGATGATGATGACGAATATTTATATTAGTTTATAAGGGCAGAACTGGAAAAAGGAAAGGAGAGGGACCATCTAGATGATCCTGCTTTAGCTAAAATTGAGAAAATATACATTGGAGGAAATAAGGTTGCAGTTTGAGGATTGGAAAAATGATGAATATTTATATTTGTTTTTGTCTTTAGACATTTCTGGTTACATGAGTATAAGGCTGCAGTTTGAGATTGGAAGAAATAAAAATAACATGAAATATCAAATTTCTATTAATTTTGTTGACAATCATCTTTAAAATATAGCTTACCTTTTCTGAAATTTTAGCCAGTTCTTCCAGCCATTGTCTCTTATACTTTTCCCTTCTAGCACTTCAACTAGGGTTCTAGGGATTCATACCAAATGTTAACTGGTATCATGGAAAATAAACAGTAGCCATACCACCGAAGTTGTTGGACATCTATTTCTCTCTTCAAGACCTAAAAAAAAGAAAGAAAATCTTAATGATATTAACAAGGGGAACTGTTACTTCCACAGACATTTTTGATAATACACTGATGCATACCAAGCACCTTTTGACAGTGCATCAGATGCTGGTTGTGACCTCCCAAAATCACCTGCTCACATTAATTTTTTTTAAACTAATAATATGACATTATAAACCAACAAGATTTCTTGTAACATTAAACATTGCTATTTATTAATCAAAATTTGTAGAGAGAATACCTTTCCTCTTCTATAACATCAGGTTTTACTGAACTACCCACAAGAGGTACTCCATTAGGGAATTACATATCCTCCAACCTATCACACATTAAATTTGGGTATTACAGTACATATATTTTTATATATTTAATTTTTGAGACTTCAAATCACTACGTACCTCTTTTTTATTGTACCATGGTCTCCAAGTAGTCTCTACTGGAAGCTTCAACTTGTTTTACAGAGTACTTACCTTGAGAATGTTAGTAGGACACATCCATCTGTGTCACCACTGCCAATTCATCATGAATGAAATGTATGTTTCTTTTGTGTATGTTTAATAAATAACTGAGAAAATAACTGATTGGGTGTTAGACTAGATTGAGTTACCTGTATATCCAGACACTAATTCCATTTTCAATAAGTTGAGTGATAGTAGGCAAAATGGTTGTTGGGTTGTCTATCATTCCAATACCATTGCAGATAAAATCATGAGTCAAATACAAGAAACAACAACATAATTTCATTGATTTTGTTTATTATGGAATAATGGAATCCTAGTTTTCGAGATAGAAAAGAAAAGGTACCCGCAAAATCCCCATGAGGTATTTCGGACATCAAGAGCTTCTTGCACATCTGCTCGATTCAAATATGATAAGACATAATCATCAGAGCAAGGATCAAAGTTCTTGACCTAATTATACACACCATGTCTTCAAACAAAAGTACATTGCAATTTACTGTATTTGAAAGGAATTGGAGACTTACAGATCTAGCTGCATGTTTCTGGATACATCCATCACATAATGGTGCATAGATGTTGTAAATATCAATCACACCATATTCACTACCTGATTGGCTTTGATAATGAAAACACTCTGCTGAGAAATTCCCAGAACCATAGCCACAATACTCGTTGATCCCTGCATTTGTCTCATCATAGTTTAGAGCATGTGTCCAGTAGAAATCATAAATCCCTTCATCAGTTGCATTGTCATCTATCACAGCATTCCCAATCTGCACAATCACAATACAAAACACCCATTGGTTGTATTCGTGCTTATGTGGAATCTGTTACATGTGACAAGACTTGTTTTGTCTTGTTTCGTCTGCTAACTACTTACCGCAATCCCATGAAGATTAATGTTTGTTCCGTTAGTTTTCTTGTTTTCTGAGAGAATGAGAGAAGCAAGTTGGGGTATGTAGTGACCTGCTAGAAGTCTCACTTGTTCAGTAACTTTTTTAGTCAGCTTTACCTATTAATCACATATTAAACTAGTTAAATAAATATTAAATATTTTTCCAGCCTAAATTACCTATTAAATAAATATTTTACCAGTGTAGGGAGAAGGTCTGCAGCATTAAGTGGAAGTCCAACCCCATCAACCATCCATGGTTTTTATTAGATAATCTGTTTTTCCATGCTGCGTTCACTCCAGTAGTTATTAATTCGTTCAATCTTACCTAAAAGAGCATTAGAAAAAAGTTAAACTTATATAAAGCAAAAAAAAGTTATAAAATAATTGGTATAGTAAGAGGTAACATGGTACAAGAAAAAACCCCTAATTCACTTTCTGCCACAACACTCAAATCAGAAAACCCATCTGTAGATATTTGAAGCTCACTGTAATAAAACATTCTCAAAGGTTTGATCATGGCAGGAGTTTGGTATTGACAAAGGGAAAACAATGGAAGTAGTAAAGATAAACGCATGCCTAAAGAAATATCATCCAACAAGTAGTGATTACCTTCTTCATTCCCCAGTTTGTTGTTAATATCCATGACCACTGGAATGTATGAAATTTCCCCTTCCAGCTTTAAGATCTGTCCTAAAAGTAAAATCAACAACAAGAACATTAACACCATAACAGGAATAGTAAAAAAAAAGCAGCAATATTAATAACTTGAAATTAAGATTGTGTGCTAAACAATAAAATTCGGCCATGTATTCCTTGACCCAATAAATTAATTATTTCTAATCAGTTGCAGATCTGAAATCGCCTAATGGCCATTTGAAATCTGAAATCAATTAAGTGATTCATTAACTAATGTGAAGTTGTGAACCGATTGAAATCAATAAATTGAGTATAATCAATCAATTCAATCATACCAGTTGCTTCAATCGAATCCTAATTTATAAGGAAAATAAAAAATCAATAGCAAAACTGGTAGATTTTGAGACTAATTAGACAAAACGTTGGTACCAGGGTACCAAATCGGCGTTCCAAAAATGCAAAATTGGCGACCCAAACTCCAAATTGGCGATCCCAATCACGTATTAGATCAAATCCGTTCGCTAAAAACACGTTCCAGCAATCGATTTTGCCATTCAGTGGGGTCGTTGAGTTTCCGTACCGAAGTACGTTTCTGCCTACAATTGGAACGATAACGTACCATGATTAGGAACGAAACGTTTAGAACATGGATCATGGCTGATAGAGCGATCCCTGTGACTATGGGGAAGAGTTATTGGGTTCCTCATGAAACATCGAAGGTTTATAGAGATTATGGGTTTCAATCCTACGAAAACATTGGAGCAAGTCAATTTGAAATTGAGCCGAAGGAGTACCATGAATGTAGGAAAACACTGTTTCCTCCCGAATCGAACTCTGATGGCCCAGACTTCATTATCTCCAGTTTTGCCTCCAAATCCTTCACGTCTCCTGATTTGACCTATATATTCTCCTCAAAAGAGATTTTCCTATTATCAGCGTTTCAGGAACCCAAATTAGCCTGAGTAAACTAATTTTTAGGTATTTTGATTATACGAAGAAAAGTGATTAATACCTGGTGTAACTTCTCCATGAAATTTTCATCTTCCCTTTCAATTGCATCGTCGTCACCCCTTATGTAAAGCAGGTAAGTATTTAGAGTATAGATGAACATGTTGTCGCCAGAAATTGAGTGTGACTGCGTGGAATTTGCAAGGTGCTCATTATACATTGCAATATGTACAAGCCAATGAATCACGGCTAAAATAGTAGGAAACATGTGAGGCTTTCCAGGGGATTTTAAGGCCGACTTGTTGACAAGGGTAAATGTTGATTCAAACCCTAGAAATAGCTCCAAAAGGGTCAGTGATGGGATGGGGAAATGATTTTCAATGTAAGATAGAGGAGGTTGCTTCGAGCCCTAGAAACCACACGACGTCGAGAATAATGAAGAAGCTAAGGGGGGGGGGGGGGGGGGGGGTTGAGAGTGATGTATGTTGTTGTTCTGGATGTGTAGCTGAGAGGCATCGTGCTTGAAGGTGGTTACAATCAACATTTATTTTTGGTAGACGATAGGTGAAGGGAGGAGTTCAATAGATGTTTTTAGAGTGAAATCGGATATTGGAGAGCCGAAGAGGAGAGAATCACAGAAGCATGAAGTGTGGATTGATTTTTTAGGGTTCAATGGTGGTGAAGCGGATAAGAGAGGATGGAGAGGGGAGAATCGATTGCGAAGATGAAAGATAGAAAGTAGAAAAAAACAAGGCGGGTTTTCAAAATTTTGGGGATTTCATTTTTGCCCGTGTCTACTAAACACGTGCATTCATTAAAATTATAAAGCGAGACTTATAGAAGACGCCCATTTAAGATACAGCGCCCTCCGTGTTCTTAATTTTTTTTCTTATGACAATAATTTAAGGGCACGCAATAATGCGTGACCTAAACCCTTAAATTTTTTGAAGGCATGACACTTTTTTAATGTCACTCTCTTTTGCGTAACATAAATCAATGAGTGTCGTGGTTTGCGCGTTGTAAAAGGGTCTTTTTCTTGTAGTGCGGTTTACTACAACAACCAGATATACCAGAATGGAAGTGGGAGCAGATCACTATGGATTTCATAACCAAGTTGCCCAAGACAATGGGTGGATTTGACACAAGTTGGGTCATTGTCGATAGATTACCCAAATCCACACACTTCCTGCCTATCAAAGAAACTGATAAGATGGAGAAGCTTACAAGAACTTACATTCGGGAGATCGTTCGACTGCATGGTGTTCCTGTATCCATTATCTCCGATAGACATAGTAGGTTCACTTCGAGGTTCTGGTAGTCATTACAAAGTTCTTTAGGAACAAGGCTAGACATGAGTACAACCTACCATCCTCAGACCGACGGACAAAGTGAGAGAACCATGCAAACACTGGAAGATATGTTGCAAGCCTGTGTGATCGACTTTGGGAAGGCATGGGATACTCATTTATCCCTTGTCAAGTTTTCCTACAATAATAGTTACCACACAAGCATCAAGGCTGCCTTATTTGAAGCCCTCTATGGCCGGAAGTGCAGATCCCCTATGTGCTGGGCTGAGGTGGGTGACACCCAGTTAGCTAAAGGATGAGTTCCTAATAGCACTCTAACAGATCTAGAAATCATTCGGTAAGCGACAGAGAAAATCGTTCAGATTCGTGAACGATTGAAAGCCTCTAGAGACCGATAGAAAGCTACGCAGACAAACGAAGGAAACCTTTGGAATTCCAGGTGGGAGACCACGTTCTTTTGAAAGTCTCACCCTGGAAGGGCTTGATACACTTCGGAAAGCGTGGGAAGCTCAATCCAAGATACATAGGGCCTTTCGAGATTCTCGCTAGAATCGGCCCTGTAGCTTACAAACTCAACCTACCCCACGAACTTAGTAACTTACATTCTACATTCCACATATCGAACTTGAAAAAGTATTTGTCTAACGAGATTCTTGTAATCCCACTCCACGAGATCTAGATCAACGAGAGCCTCAACTTCGTGGATGCACCTGTAGAGATCACGGACCGTGAGGTCAAGCAGGCGAAACAAAACCGCATCCTAGTAGTGAAGGTTCGCTGGAACGCCAAGTGAGGACCAAAATTCACTTGGAGCGTGAGGATCAAATGAAATTGAAATATCCTCATCTTTTCGCTTAGTTATTTGTAACTACCTTATTGCTTAAACTCTAATTTCGGGAAGAAATTCCCTCTAACGGGGGGATGATGTGACAACCTGAAATTTCCATTCGTACAAACCCTACAGTCAAGCACTCAATTAAAAGTCAAACACATTTTTGCTAAATTTTAACTGGTTTAAAGTCTGTTTGAGTGTTTTTTATATTAATTCTTCAAACAAACAAATAAAAGGAAGTGTTTCGAGGAGTATCAGGTAACAATTAAAACAAATAACACCTTTAATTGGTGTTCACAACCAAACATTTGGAGTTTGGGTCGTGAACTCCTTATCGTCATGAACTCATGCATATAACATGAGTTTACTCTTCATTTTCCTCATTTCCATCTTTCAAACTCAAGAAATCCCACCATTCTCCCTCAAGTATCATAACCCCTTTCTTCCAATCTTCCAAAAATGTAAGTGTTTCTTCACTTGATTTGTTGTTATAACCTTTCATCTAGTTGTTATACACCAATTTATCCATGAAATCTTCACTTTTATATAGATCTTTAAGTGTTCTTTAAAACACCAAGAGCACACACTAGTGTTCTTGGACCTTAAACACCCAAATAAGCTTCAATATTGTAAGTACTCTTGTCCTAGCTTGTGGTATACTAGATTGATCTTGTTTAAACCTTAAAAACATCAAGTAATCTTGAATGGAATGGAGTTTATGGCCAGGATACCTCCCAAGGCCGTAACCTCTATAGAAGGGTGCATTGTTGCCCTAATAACCTTCCTAAGGCTTGGGACTTGAACTAGAACCCTTCACATTTGAGCTAAGGACCTTAACACACGAATTACGGGAGTTTTCCATAGGTTTATGGCCTTAAACCTACTAGGGCCACAAGCCCTTGTCCGTAAACTCCATAAGGTTTGGTCTTTGGGCCGAAAACTCCAATGCAAGACCTTACACCCCTTTGATGCAACGTAATGGCCTTCTAACACTTAAACCAAAGTGTTTTCCATGCTTTAGGGTGTTTATACTTACTTAATTTAGTGTTATAATCACTAATTAGATGCATACATATGTCTTTATATGTTAATAGGATCATTGTGTGTGTTCAAGTCTTCACTTGACACTTAGCACCTTGTCCAACACTTCCATCCAAAACCACTTACTACATGTGAGTTCATACCCCTTAATCAACCTTATAAATTATTTTAAATACTTTTATAGGGGGGAATAAAAGTTGAATATCATTGTTATTATATCAATCACATGTGATTAATAACTATCAAACATATGGATTTACTATAATTTCAAACTGTTTTTGTAAACAAATGACATCAAACTGCTTATCAAACTATTTTACATGTTAAAGTTCTTATCAAACTCACTTTTATGTATCAAACCTTTTCTATTATAGATTTCTAACTTATATATTTTTAAAACCATGTCTATTACATATATAGTTATATAAGGAAGGATCGAAGGACTTAGGACTGCCAACTGACTTTATTTTCTGTTCCTTGTTTGGTTGTGGACTTAAAGTACCTTGTTGTTTGTTCGAGTGTCGTTGGATCCTTAGTTGTATATTATATATATATATATATATATATATATATATATATAGGTATAGATATAAAGAATTTTATCTCAGTTCAATACATTCATGTTCTCAGTAGACAGGTACCGATGCCAGCTTTTGAGAAGATGGAGCGCATTCATGACTCGTCTGATGTTTTGAATTACATTTTTGGTGTCTTATAAACTATACATAACACACTTGTATTAAATTATATTATTAATGCAATGGATGATGTTGTTTTCTTGGTTACTATTATCTATGTTGTGATACTGTACATGACGTCGTCCACCCCCGAACGTTTCCGTCATTCCAGTTTTGGGGTGTGACAAACCATCAGATGATCACCATCTTTCTTGTGAAAGAAGGTTGGGTCAACCGAGCCTTGTTTAAACTTAGACTTTTTTAAAAAATGAGTTAGAGTTCCATACCATACTCGTGGAGCTTGCTTCAGACCATACACAGCCTTATCTAGAATATAGCAGTGGTTCAGATATTTCTCGTTTATGAACCTATTTTTCTATTCCACATAAACTGTTTCTTCTAGTTACCCATTCAGAAAAGCACACTTGACGTCCATTTGATAGACTTCAAAGTTCTTATGAGCTGCATATACCAGGAAGATGCAATCAGACTCTAGTCGTGCTACTGGTGCAAAATTTTCTTCGTAGTCTATTCCTTCCTCTTGATAATACCCTTTTACAACTAAGTGGGCTTTATTGCTTATTACGTTACCTTCTTTGTCAAGCTTATTTTGAAACACCAATTTCAGTCCTACAACAGATGCATCCTTTGGAGTTGGAATCAGTATCCAAAACTTGTTACGTTCAAACTCATTAAGCTCCTCCCGCATTTCTTGCACCCAATCAAAATGATCAAGAGCAATCTTAACATTTTTGGGCTTAATTCTAGAGATAAACAAATTAAACATGCAAAAATCCATCTTGGAGAATAATACAGTCTGCTTCGCTTTTTGTTGTGCTCTCGTAAGAACCAGTGAAAGGTGATTTTTTCATCTTTCCCAATACACATGACTTACATGTATCATCTGACCTTAAGTCAAATGATTCCAACACTCCATCCTTTTGGAGTTGGGCCATGTGTTTCTTGTTAATGTGTCCAAGAGGGCAATGCCACAAGCATGCTTTGTCTATACCATTAGACGAATCAATTTGAAAAACACTATTACCTGAATTGCCTACAATCATCACAGTTTCATACACACCATCACAAGGTAAAGCTTCAAAACAAAAAATCACCATTTT